TCTGCTTTTGTTGAGTTTGCAGGTTTGGCTCAAAGGGTTTTTATGAAAATGTCTGGTCTGATGAGATGCTGTCAAAATAAATGGCTCATATCAAACCACTTGACAGTAAATGATTTAAATGTTATTGGGGGTGGATAACTTAAAATAGAAGTGATCTGTAGTCATTACCAACCACTGATATGTAGTTTGTCAGGGTCCGTTTTGATGACGGCTGACTGTTGCCGTGCAGTTTGTGTTCATTTCAAGATGGTTTGCATCTAAGGTTAGAGCCCTTACTCAGAGAATTAAACTCTCCACTTGTCCTCCTCTTGTCAGTGAGGAACATCTGTGTCTCCTCTTTGGCTTAAACACACCTGCACATGTTTAGTCATTAGTTATCAGGGAGCTCATTTGTTCTAATTCATTATAATAACTACACTTAACTAGAATTCCCCTTGTTTAAACCAGTCCAGGGAGGATGACTTTGTACTGTACAGTCCAGACAGAAACACCTATTATATTATATTCTAGTCCATTTTGTGTAAAATAACATTTATAGGAAATAACATCAATTTATGTATTTAGATTTTGGGTAAACATTTCAATGACAATCCAGTGACACTAAACTTTACATAAATGTGTTATTCAACTATGAGGCTGGTGCACAATAGAAGTCAGTGTATCTACTTAACGTGTACAATAGGATGTGAAAAGATGATACTGACTTGTACGAATTCTTTGTAATTTTAAGGGACAATGTGAAATTGAAAAGTAAAGGTTGTTGAGAAACAGCACTACTGTGATGTTTACTTCATCATGTTATGTTGTTTTTTTTTGGCTTTAAATAATTCTTTGTTGCAAAAAAATATGATTTATTGTTTAAGTTTGGACTCATCTGTCACTATTTTTGAAATTGTCTTCCAAAAAAACAAAGTAATTCACTATGTATAAAAGGCCCCTTTAGGTCACTGCAATTATAGTTCTCCCAGAGTGGATCCACTGTAGTGTTTAATTTAAGGTGGTAACTTTAAAGTATTTTTCTTCAAGTTAAACTCACATTTTTAACTTGTTTCTTGCTTTGATGATGTTGATGATTAAACCTAGTGTAGCATCAAGTTTCCTCCCCCCAGAGGACACAAATCTGAATTTATTATTCTGTAGCTCATTAAGCCATGCAGGAAATTCATGTTTACATCTAATGCATAAGAAAGCCTAAACCAAAACAGCAGTTTTTGGAATCGATCAATAAACTCAGCATCATGGTTCAAAACTCAAGGTATGTTTTCTTAATTATCAATACTTTTCATTATGTCAAGATTTCTTTTTGTACTGTGTTGTTGTGGTGTGCATTTCATTTATAAGCCCTTGTTTTCAGATAACTGCCTGTAAACACAAACCTTCACCGGCCTACTGTAAGACTTTATGGAAAAGCTTTAATTTCACTCTTCCAATAATATATACAACCCCAAATTAGAAAAAGTTGGGACAGTATGTAAAACCCCAATTAAAACTAAAAGTGATTTGAAAATCATCTGTGTCCTGTATTACATTGAAAACAACACAGCAACGCGTTATTTGATGTGATACCTCATCAATTTTATTTTTTGTTCAAAATAAACACTTCAGTCCCGCTGATGCCTGCAACACATTCCAACAAAGTTGGGACAGTAAAGCGTTTACCACAGTGTGATGTTTTCATTCCTTGTCAGAACACTTAGACGTGTAGAGACTGAGGACACTTAAGTGGGTCAACTGTAATTTTGTCACATTCTTCCTGTAAACAAGTCTTACAATAAGCAGCAGTCCTGGGTCTTTGACGCAATCTGAATTTCAAAATGCGTCACATATTCTCTATTGAGGACGGGTCGGGACTGCACTATCAGCCAGTCCAGCACTCATACCCTTTTCCTCCATAGCCAGGCCTTGGTAATGTGCGCACAATGAGGTTTTGCATCGTCCTGTTGAAATATCCATGGGTGTCCCTGGATAAGATGTCATCTTGAAGGCAACATATGTTGCTCCAAAATCTCTACGTATTGTTCAGCATTAATGGAGCCATCACAGACCTTTGTCAAGGGCACTGACATGACCCCAGACCATGACAGACTCTGGCTTTTGGACTTGTTGCTGGTAACAGTCTGGATGGTCCTTTTCGTCTTCGGTCTGGAACACACGGCGTCCATTCCTTCTGAAAACTACCTGAAATCCCTTCCTATCTTTCATTGAGGAGCATTGCTTTTAAACATTTCAGTAATATTCTCATGCACCTGTTGGCAACCTGGTGATGCTCGGCCCATCTTTGCTCCTAAAGGGCTCAGCCTTACCTGGATGCCACTTTTGTAGCAAATCCTGATTGCAATCACCTGTTGGTGTCACCTGTTTCAAATGGAATCATCATTTCATTGTTTTGCCTCATTACTGGCCCTGAAATGCAACAGTTCCTGTGCTTTTTGAATTTTTTTGGAATGTGTTGCAGGTAACAGAGTTGAAATGAGTGTTTATTTTGAAAAATAAAATAAAATTGATGAGGTATCACATCCAATAATGTGCTGCTGTATTTATTGTTTTCAGTGTAATACAGGACACCGATGTTTTACACTATCACTATTTTCAGTTTTAATTGTGATTTTAGATACTGTCCCAACCTTTTCTGATTTGGAGTTGTAATTACTTAAAATCAAAATATAAATCTCTGTTTGAGTGAATCAAAAACCTGTATAAAATCTGTAAATGCAGCAGCACTTGCTTACTGTTGCACTGTGGTTTCTGTCAACAAGCAGACAGAGGGCCTATTTGTTTGCCGAAACACTGACATATGTAGTTTTTCACCTCAATAGTCTCTGAGATTCAGCTTTCTGTCGAAGCATGACCCATTAATGAACCATAACCTCTAACCATCGAGTGCAAAAAACAAGCTGACACCATCAAATTTTAAAGCACACCTCAGAGTGACTGAGAATCATTTCATCAGTCGGTCTTGGAGTAGGGAACCACAGCAGCATGGCAAAATTGCCTAACCTGTGTTTGCTTCTTTTATTGGCAGGCCAAGTACCAGGTCAGTCTCAGTATAAGACAGTCATGCTTTAAAATGTGTTGGCTTTGTATAAACTCTTACCAAGGTTCAACTGTTAGTATTTAACAATCTGTATTAAAAATTAAGAAACAGTAAGCTTAAGTATTTAGTTCAAATTTTTGATTTTACATTACGGACTGACATAACATAAACGTTCACATATATATTTATATAAGTCATGTTCCAAAGATTTTGAAATCATTTATGTTTGACAGTCCCAGCATTAGTCTTTGCTGAAAATAGCATTTGTCCAGAGATGAGGTTTGTTACACTGGTGCATTGTTAAATTACACTAAACTGATTTCCAGTTTTGTTAGATTATCTGTCTGATCATCGTTGTCTGGCGAACATTGCTCCCAGTTGTCACCCAGGCATACTAAACACACAAGTAAAGTATTTGTAGTTGTCCTTTGTATGACATGTTGTTTTATTGGCTCTGTCCTTAGCCTTGACAGTGACCCCAGGTGGACTGAGTGTTACACAGTACCCTCCCTCTCTAATTGTGATTCGGGGTGAAACTGCAAACCTGTCCTGTCATTTTAAAGTTGAATCGCTCAAATATGGGGTTCAGTGGATCAAAATGAAGCCAGAAAAGCAGCTGATTCCAAAATCATCCAAACAGACTGTTGTGCAGAAGAATCAAACCTCCTCCCTGCAGATCACTGAGGTAACACTGGAGGATTCTGGGTGGTATTACTGCGAGGTGAACGTCTTGCAGAAAGACCCAGAGCGGGGCAACGGCACCGAGCTGGTCGTCTTGGGTGAGAAACAAATAGCTTGAACATGCCAGTTCATCGGGATGCTTGCTTGGGTGATGTTGCCATGTTGGTTATTATGTTTCATTCGTGTCTTTTGTAAATCAGAGCCACAACATTTAGTCTGAGGCAGCTTGATGATGATGCGGATTCTGCATCACCATAAAATGAACCAACCGACCCAATCTATAAAATTCAAGCCATGTGAAAATTCCCTAGAGTTCATCTTTTTGCCTGAGCGGTTTCATGACAGACCTAGAAATAATCACCCCAGTACCATATGTGATGCCTTGTATCGATCTTGCCCAGGGAACTGAAACTCACCAGAAAACAAGGCAGGAAGGGATGGTCAAATTATTATGTGGAAATCTTTCATGCGGAAGAAAAGCTTCCTTTTGCTTTTCTCTCGAATGCAGCATTGCCACCACAGGAAATAAAAATGTTTTTTAATTATTTTATTCTATATTTATTTTGTTTTATTTGTTATTCTAATTCATTTTAATAAATTATTTTATAGCAATTACCTTTTTATTTGTTGTTGTTAAAATATAACATCTCTCTTGAGTGTAATGCAGTACAAATGGTAATTGGTAGTGGTTGATATAGTGCGTGAAATACTTAATAATAGTGATAGCAGGATGATTCAGAAGAGCAATTTATTGGAAGGCCCTGCTTTTATTGTTGGTCACATAATGCAGTTTTGTAGAGTATGTTGTGAAACATACTGCAAATTGTGTAATTTTGTACTTTTTATTCATCATATTGCCCCTTTATTTTTTTCTTTAGAGGCTGCATCATGACTAAAATCGCCACGTTCATGTTTTTCTTCTGTTTTCTCTTGCTGTTATGATAGCTTGCTGCTCCAAACACCCAGTTTTACAATCTGAAAAATCTCATCTGACATGTCTACTTTGTTTCTTACTCCTCTTTCACTGCTAGCACCACCATCTGCTCCCAGACTTTACCTCCAGATTCCCCCAGACCCTCAGACTGCTCAGTGGGCTCTCCTCTGTCTCACTGGGGGATTCCACCCCAGCAAGCTCACCCTCACCTGGACCTACCAGAGCACAGCAGCCGATATCAATCACCAGTCACTCACCAATTGCACTCTTCCCTCTGTCAGCCCTCACGTTAACCTGTCTGAACACCCACTTGATGGAGCCCCGCTGTCCTCAGATTGGCTGGTGAACGCGGTGCCTCTGCGCCGCTCAAAATGTTTCCAGGTGATAGACAACCACAGCCGAGAAGTGTACCTCTTCAGTGTGTTTTTTCTCCCACTGAAACAGTCTCTGGACACAGGGATCACCTTCACCTGTCGGGTGCAGGACCACCCCGCCACGGCCACTGCTCTGACCGCCTCCTTCACTTGGGGTAAATTTAAAAAGGCTGATCAATTCATTTCCCAAATATGATCATTTTATAGAACAGATGTTGTCTTGGAAACGCCAGTTGCAACATGCAAACATCCATCTGTTGTGTAATTATTTATTTATTTAACATTTTTTATACTCAAATTCCCATTTGGACTTTTTCTTTTAATGATATTCAAAATTTTCCTCAACACAAAACATGGGACTTTATGTTATGCCCATTAACTTTGTTTTGGTAAAATCACGTTCTTTCCTCTGTCTGTTTGCTGTGACGGCTGTGATGGCTGTAAGTACTGCACTACCCGGTGTTTGCTGTGGAGAAAAAGCCTGCCAGAGGTTTTACTGCTGCTGTAGCAAATTTAGAGCATGCCTTTCCAGTTTGGAGAATAGAAAATACTACACTTAGTTGCTGAACTGATCAAACACTGGCCCAAAATTTGAAACTGCTGACTACATGTTCGGCTGTGTTCACTAGGTAGCTGCTAACTTTCTCTGTCTGCTGTCTGGGGCTTAGCGGGCAGAGGAAAGTTGGTTTGTCATAGTTATTGCTGAAACCAGCAGCGCACTGTGAGACTGGGCCAAAGCAGTGAACTTGAGGGCCATAAAACTGACACAATAAGCTGAGAGATGCTGTAACGCTCTGTACAGCCAAGGAGGCACTGTGGAGCTTTTTCATAACTATGTGTGGGTTTATTACTACAGGTGACCCCTTTCACATTACACATAGTGATCTGATCTATTGTTACTACAAACATATGGATAAAATCAGCTTTTTTTTTATAAATGTTCTTGTATTTTTGACCCTTTATCAAAATGCAAATATTATCTATGTTAACAATTTGCTCAAATAACGACTAACTAGTAGATTTTCATGGCCATGCAAGCTTTGGAAATACTCCAGTCACATAACATAATCAGAGAATGAAATGGACTGTTTTCTTCTGGAGCCTTGGAGCCCAAAGCAACTACTTTGTGCTTTGCGAATCCAAAGGAAACTTTCTTCCAAACAGCACAGGCTGCACTGACAGAGTTCAGGGACAACAGCGCCTCGCAGAGCATGAGTTGCTTGCTCAGTGTTTGCTCTACTTGACTATTAGCGTGGGTCAGGCATCGATCTTTCCAAGGCAACAGATTTCCTGCAGCACTGCATAATTCAACAAATTAATGATTTTCCCAGACAGTGTCAAAGGAGGAGGCAAATGTCTGTCAACTTGAGCTAGTTCAACCTTCCTGATTCAGTTCTGTCATGCCCAATAATATAATGACTCAGTGCTAATCAGCTCTGGATTTGTTATTTATTTATTTGTTTGCTTGTTTGCTTTGCTTTCCAGATGCCTCTCCTAATGAGCTGATTGTATGGCTGAACATTCTTAAAATGTGTTTCCTCTCGGCAGTGACTGCTGTATTTTTATTGGAAGGTGAGTGAGCCAACCTGTTGATGAAAATTACAGGAAGTTGTCGAAAACCTGTTTTTAATTTTTATCATCTTGCTCTCCACAGCAGTCAAACATTTCTGTGTGTAAGGAAAATGATGTTTGCCATGTGAGTACAATAATCTCCACTGCCTTTGGCAAACACTTTATGCAAACACACACATACACCTGTGCACATGCATACACGCTCACAAGGGGATGTTCTTATTGCCATATCCCTGTACCCTATCACACATTATTAGGAACAAGTCAACACTGATGTAACAGCCAATTATTGTCTTCCAGGAAACAAAATGAAACAGGAGAGAAAACACAAGAGGACTGCTGGGTGTTCAGTGCTGCTCCCCTCAACAGACCAACAGCGGGCTTACAACATCATACATATCCAAGTCAGAATCATCACTGACAAATGAGAAAGCAGCCTAATATTCGCTATTTGAAAGTGTCTCCCAGCGTCAGGCCACACGCTGTGTATTCTGCTTTGCTTGATGTCGATGCACTGACGCCGATTTATTTCTGCACCTGAAAGCTGTTTATCTGTATAACTCTTTATCACCATGGTGTGCTGAGTAGTGTGTTTTTGGATTTGCTTTTTGTGCGAGTGGCTGGTGGCCCACATATCTTAGTCATTCACTTGGGTCTGTGTGTCAGAATGAATGCTTCATGGGTGATCCACCTGTCAAACAGATACAGTGATCAGCCCAACCTCCACACAGGCCTAATCCTCACAAAAAGGATTACACTTGATGCCAGGACTCACTTGTGTGATAGCATTGTACAGTATATATATGTTTGCAGTGTGTGGGGTGAAATCTTGATTCACATGTTGCAGGAGGTTCATTTTAAATTTAGCTCTGTCTACAATGCCAAGAGCATCAAGTCCTGCCAGTAATAATGGCCATTATGTTTTAAGCAAGAAGGTGTAACCAGAATAGTGATGTCAAAAAGGCTTTTTATTCTAATCAATAAACTTGCTATTTCACACGGCTTATTCTTATTTTTTATTTAAGTTACTTTTATGAAGAAGACATTATTTAAAAAAGTATACAGCAATTATCTGGAGATCACATTCAAGTTCATATGTTACAGTGTTTATTTACATGCAATGTCCACATTCATCAGTCACTCTTACAAAAACAAATGAGTCCTTATCGCTTCTTTTTTATGCACACACACACACACACACACACACACACACACACACAATCACCTGGTACCTGACAACAATCCATAAAAAACAAGCTATTGGTAAAAAGTACATAAATATACCTCCATTCATGTACACTCACACATGAATAGATACTCAGACAAAATTCATTCTAATCTGAAGCCTTTGTGTCCTAAATTATATAAAATATCTTTATATGACTTGTGTATGAAAACAGTTTTTGTATTTGCCTTACATTATTACAACCTCTGGCATGCAGCTTTCAGGTATATACAATATTATTCTACTTTAGTACCACATATAGCTTAAATATGCCCATGTACTAAATGTATTCTAATATTTAACATTCAAATTATAGTATAAATATTGTACCTTGTGAACAAAAACCTATGTGAGAATGGTTATAATCATGTAAGGCAAAATCCAAAACACACACATATACAGTATGTACAGATAAAAGGCGAAATGTATCGCTGCAGTTTTGGAAGGTGTACAAAGCCCTGTTTTGTTTTTGTTTTTTACCACACGTGAGCAGAAGGTCTTCTCTTTTGTGTCTTTTCCAAATAGGAAGTTTGAACAGAGACGTGCTGTACTGTATGCCAAGCCCTTTTCTCACACGTAAAAACATACAGTAAGCATGTCATTAATTTCCTGTTTCAGGGATGAAGAAATAACAAATTAGCACAGGCAGCTGCCCACAGCTTCCTTTCAGTCAGCTCAGATAGCATTGATCTCCTCTTGTGTGTGTTCCTTATCTTTTGAAGTCTTGCTAACTCCCCCCCACAAGCCTGAAATCGTGTCACGGGAAATGTACGTGTTCAAGTGACTTCTAACTCCTTCCATCATGTTACCCACAGTCCCTCTTACAGCAGAGGAGGAGAAGTAGAAAATAAGAGGGTCTAGACAAGCATTAAAGGTGCTAAACAACAGGGCCATGTCTCTCCAGTCAGGACTTTTCCATTCAATAAAACCCACAATATGTGAGACATTGTATGGGCCAAAACATAAAGCAAACACCAGCAGTGTTCCTAAAGCCATGCCAATGGCACGGAGGCGCCGACGCCGATTGATGTGCTGCAGCTTGGACAGAATCCTGATGAAGTTAATATAGCAGAAACTACTAATCAGGAAAGGGATGCAGAACAGTACAATGCACAGCTCCAGACGCACAGGCAGAAGGACATTCAGCTGAACTTCTGTGAAGTTCTCATAACACACGTCCTTATGTGTTTTAACAGGGGGGGTGCTAGTTGATTCATTGTGTCGTAAGGTGGCATTTGGAGTATTTTTAGAGCCAATAAAGGGCACAATGACCACAATGCTCAGGTTGATGAAGGAGAAAATCCAGAAGAAGATGCTGGCGGGCTGGATGGGGAAAGCCACTCCAAGGTAGCGCTCTACGCTGACAGCAGTGAGGAAGAAGGTGCTGTTGTAGATGGTCATGTAGAATATGAACCCAGACACTGGGCAGAGAGCGTAGGGCATGTCCCATTGCATGTTGTTCATGACTTCTTGCATCTTGAAGGGCAGAAAAAGGAGAAACAGGAGGTCGGAGATGGTCAGGTTGAGGAGCAGGATGTCAATCGGTGTGGGTTTCTGTCTCACTTTCTTGCAGAAAGTGAAAAAGGCGAGGACATTGGCCGGGAAGCCCAGCACAAAGGTGATGATGTAGACAGAGAGGCAGAGCCCAGTGTGGCACTGCTGCATGGTGGTCCCTGGTGTTTGGGAGTCAGTCAGGGATCAAGATATGTCACATTATGTCCCAGATTATGACTCTGGGGGCGTGGGGATAAATACACTGCAGCACAGGGAGGCTTGATCTGTCAGGCAGTTAGAACCGCAGGAGACGAAGCTTCTTATTGGGTCAGCAGCCTGGAACAAACCCAACGAGACAGCGTGGTTTTTCTGTCCCCACCGATAAACCAACGCTCATCGTTTCCTCCAGGGCTTTGAGCTCTGCTGATAAGAGAGAATGGAAGGAGATTACCACACTGCACAGCGTAGTATTTCGACCCATTGTCCCATTGACATTTGGTTTCAGAGTGCACTTTTATATTTTTAATTCATGCTGAAACAAATGCATTTTATAAATGCTGAAAAACCACAGCAGAAGCCAGAGATAAACTCTCATTCTTTTTTCTATATTTCTTCCTAATTTCTCGTTATATCCCTATTTCAGAGTTTATTGTGGAGCTGAATTATATCTTAATGAGGAGACGGTGTTTTGGTCTGGCACGTGGTGTTGTATACACACTGAAATACTGTGATACTGCTTCCTTTGTGTCATAAATACAGTACAATAATGCTTTTATCATTAACTCCCAGCCCCTGTCCTAACTACGTATGCACAAATACTGGACATGTTGTGATAATGATGACCCTCATAAACATAATGATTTAACTACAAAGAGGAAATGAGTGTCTCAAAACTTAACCTCACATGTTTTACTAACACACGTTTGTCATCAAAACGGCTGTATTGAAGACTTAACATAATTAAAACTAATAAACACTGAGGAAATTGTAAGAGAAGTTTTAAAAGGAATGATACTGAGAAAAGCCAGTTTCTTACCCTTTCTGTCACAAGCGGCATCACTTAACAGTGAACTGGGAGCAATGGTTTTGCTCTTATATTCTGGTGACAAGGCAGACGGAGGCTTTTTTTTTCCTTAGAAGAATGTGATGAAAACAAAGAAATGCCGGCACCTTAAGCAACATGAAGATTTCCTCATTTGTCACTTAACAAATTTTTAGTTTACCACAATCTTCCTTTTATTTCTAAAAAGAAACTACCGTCAAATAAAGAGTAATTCTAGCTAACCTTAATCCACATGCGTGAGCAAAACCACATGTGGTGATTGCTCAAGTGTTTTGCTGGATATCCTCTATTCACCAGCCTTCAGCTCCTTCTTCCTGTTACCCGGCACGCCTCACTATGTACATGATAATGTAAACATCCAGCACAGATAATAAAAATTAGTATTGTGGAGATACCGCTGCAATTTATCTCACATGCTTGCCAAACACGGTTTCCGTGGTAACAACTGGAATCCTGCAGTATGAGTGACAGTCGCTGCAAACCTGTGTGATTGTAGGTTATTAAATCATACTTATTTATCTACTGTGCACCCACTGCTTCTTTGTTATGAGGAGGAGAGAAAAGATAAAAGAAATGACCTGTTGTCAGAGGTGTCCCTCGCTTCACAACATGTGGTGAAGGCAGCCAGGCCAGCATATGGTTGTAAACAAAGGCCTGTTGTTTGGATAGCCGTACGCTGTATGTAATAATAAAAGACTGACCCGTGTGTGTGTGTGTGTGTGTGTGTGTGTGTGTGTGTGTGTGTGTGTGTGTAGGTTTCAGAGAAGACTGAGATAATCCTATATTCTGTAGCCAACCACAGCAGAAAAACACAAAGACATACAATGAGAGGTCAGTGGCACTGTTTCTGTTTACTGCCTAATATCACAACAGCTGGGTACATTTTTTCTTGAACAGGTGAACCATGAAGTGCAGGTAGCCATGGATAATTTCACAAACTAATAAAAACAAGCTTTTGAAGTAATAGTCACTCAGAGGTGTACAACAAGTCTTTTTGATGTAGCTTAATGTATGTAAATCACTCTGAGGCACTTTCACTTGAGCTTAGTCCTTAAATACTTGATTCCTGTGTGTGTGTGAGTTTTGGATGTTTTGTTATCTGACCAACCTACTTATAGATATTTATCCCCTTTACCATGTTAGTCATTTCTTGCCCCCTGCTGCCTCTGCAGCCCAGACAAGCAACCAAAGATGTTTGAGTTTCAGGCACTGTGCTCCTATCTAAAATCACTGCCATGTGAGTACAATATTCCACACAAAATTTTGCAGTCACTTTGTGTTATGCAAGCTGGAGTCTTCCACTGTGAAAGGTGGTTTTACAGAATGACATCAGGGATTTTCTAAGATGCTGTTTTAGTAGCTCAAACTCTACTGTAACGCCTGGAGATATTTCATCACTGCAGGACAACCAGCTTTAGTAATTACCCAGAGACAATAGTCCAAGACAGAGGAGCAAATCAAAAGCGAAGCAGACAGAGGCCCATTTTTGCACTTCAACATTTTATATTTTACTTTTTTTTATCTTTTCAAAGGATGTCAGTGGTAGAATATTATTTTTCACATTAGTCTATTACAATTGTTCCTACTGCAAAGGGAAAATCTTAGGCATAGCACTGAAAGTGTAATATAAAGGGGCCAAAGGTGACTCACTGAAGATTTCCTTATTTAGTTAATCGTTTTAACTGCCAGAATAACTGTTACCATTATAAGCAGGAGAGGACCGTTTCCTAACCTTAATAAATCATCACAACCATGACAAAGCTCGGTTAAACTTAACAAAAGAGTCATTTCAACCCAAGCGACCATGGTTTTCTAACCCTCAGTAGGTATTTATTTTAAATGGATCCATGTGGGATTTGTTTTCAAGCGCACACAAACCCTCAGATGATGCATACTGTATATTTTTAGCAGCAACACCATAGAATGCAGTAGAGGGGAGCAGTATATGTAGCAGCAGTAGTAGTAGCAGTGTTAGGGTACTGCAGGAGGTACTTATGAAGCTTGTGATAATAAACATACTGTAGATGATTCATTCTCTCAGGTGTGTTGTGTGTGTGTCTAAAACCACAAAATAAACAAAGCTTGAGCTCCGAGGCAGGTGTTGCGGGTATGTGTGCAAAAAGGAAATAAAGGATTTTCCCAGCAGCACTGGGTAGGTTGAGTGGTGTGAAAACAGACTGTGAACGGCGGCAGCAGACCCACAGTCCTGAGGTGTTTTTCGGGAGCTCTCGTTTAGACAAAGCTGATGCAACAAGATGACAAAGCAAAAATATAAAATAAAAAAAAACAACATGGTCCAGATGCAAAGTGTTGAAGTGAGAGAAAAGTATGCTGAGCAGCAGTCTGTGTGGTTACTGAAGCTGCAGGAATAAAATCATAAATTATTTGATCAGGCAGCAGAAAGGCATACCAATGTATCAGGCTCCAAATATTAGAAACCAAATGATGGCAATTTCTCACTCAACAGCAAAAATCTGCACCAACATCGGTGTTCTGCTTCAACTGTTTTCAGAATGAATGTATTATTTTGCCACGACAGATATTGTCCTGATGGAGAGTTTTGTTTTCTCTCCAGAAGTCCAGAGGTTAAACAAAGAAGGCTGACCTGCTAAATATAAACAAATTACACTGGTGAGGATTTTAAAGGAGTGCCCTGTTGAGTCTCTAACTATCACCACGACTACAATTATCTTTCTATTACTTGCAAACATACTAATAATTAAGTGAAAAATATTGGATGTTAAGAGCTTGCCTAGAGAAACCTGCCTGAGCCTTAATATGAGTCATGCTGTATTATCTAAAAAAAAAAAGTGACCATCACTGAGTCCTTCTATTTTGTGCTCAGTGAGAAAGGCCACTTTAAAGTTCGACTGACATGGCTGTTATGAACAAAGTGTCAGAGCACTTGTGCTGTTAAAGAGCAGAAACGTTGGCAGCGTACAGCTGCTCTGTATGTTGTCAACAGCCTTGTGAAGAGCAGCTGGAGGAGAACGGGAAGGTTGGAGGTGACCGAGTGATGCAGTGAGGTGGACGTGACAGCGTGCATCATGTTCATTTACTGTAAATGATTTAAATACAAATGACCTCTCAACTTCCTGAGGTTTTAATGGAAAGAGGAAGTACCTAAAAACCTTTGTTGATGTAACTGATACCGTATGCAACACTGTATAACTTCTTCTCTGTAACAAACGCCTAATCTCAAATGTTTCATCTGTTTCTCAGTTCTTGTGAAATGACTGACATGGAAAAGAAGATGACAAGTTCTGCTGCACACAGTTTTTTTAAGACTTCTCTCTAATCTTTGCTTTCATGTAAAACAATGAAGTGCTTTTCCTCTTTGGGCCTTGAACAGTTATTTCACTAGTCAGGACCGCTCCCATAGTTTATGTTAATGAGGGTGAGATGTGCTTTTGTATGACTTGGGCTGACGCTGTTTGGTGGCTGTTAGGGCATCTTGGGGGAAGGGTTCTGGTGAATCCTCACGGCTCTCTGGTGTGGCTGATCCCCTATGAGAAGCAGGAAAACAGTAGGAAGGAAGAGGAGGGCAGAAAGGAAGAGAAGAGGACAGAGAAAGATTAAGGAAGAAGGGTAGGGTGGGTGGATTTACGAGAAACAAAAGCACTCTGCAGCTGGAGTGCGGAATATTTGTAGGCAGGTGGCAGGAAAAGATCTGAGTTAAGGAGTGGCCCTGCTCCCAAACCTTCAATGTTCATCTCCATTTAAAATAAACCATTTGAAAAGCGTAAAGGGTCAAATCAATCCTTGGTGGAACTAGACATCTGAAACCTGACAAGGGCCCCAACTTAATACAAAGATCTGAAAAGTCAAAAAGGCAAGGACCTACTGGTTTATTCTTTAACTATGCATTGTAATTTATAGAATTAATGTTAAGATTATCAATGTTTTCTATCAATTCTGAATTTGAAAAATAACATCCATCCATCCATTATCTATACCGCTTATCCTGAAGGGCTGGAGCCAAACTCAGCTGTCACTGTATGCGAGCCCTGGACACCCTGGACAGGTCAGTGCTCTGAAAAGTAACTTTTCCTGGATTGGAAGTAAAAAGTGGCATAAAATGGAACTACTCAAGTAAAGTAAGGACAGAAAATTTGTTCTTTAGTAAAGTCAATTGTGCTTAGTTACTTTGCATGACTGACTATTTAATTGTTGTCTTTGCACGATGGGCTACATCAATTTTACCTGTTTCCTAGTTGATCAGTGACAGACTCCACTGCTCCTTTTCAGTGAATTTGTTTTGGTAAATGATCAGACAAGACAATCCATTGTTTCACACAGGAAGGTGCACACTCACAGCAGGGTAGATGCAGCACATACACAATTTCTCAGACCTCAGTGCACTTGAAATAAATAGTTAATTGTGTTACATCAAGTTGGTATCTCAACAATGAAGAGAATGTGACTCTGTGCTCAGCAGACTTGAGCATCACACGAGCCTCCTTGTTAATCCCTCTGTTAATACCCAGAGCATGAACCTTTAAGCTTCCTTATATTTGTAGAGGGGGAGAAAAAAAATAACAACATAATTCTCCCATCCCATCAGAAGAGTTCAGTGGCTGCTAAGCCATCATATTGCTATTTCAAGAGTGGCTTGGTTTCCAACATAGCTCAACTCATTTTATTCACAGTGACACATTCATAAAATAAAGCTTGCAATGTCGAAAAGATAATCTTGTACACTTGGCTGGCAGCCTTATCAAGTATGACCTGAGTCCAAAAAACAACTGGTGGAGGACAAAAATCTGTGAGAAAAATAGACGACGAAATAAAAGGCATGGAGGCAAAATAGACTTTCAGGTCCTGGCTCCCGGCCTATACCAACTAATCAGTTTTATTATGACCATATAAATTGTTTTATATAGAAATACTAAAATGAAACTCTTCTGTACTCTCATTTCAAAGTGCTGTGTGGGTTGCTCTCGTTACCAGCATGGGGAGTTAATATTTCAGCCAACAAAATGTGGTGACACACTCCTTGGTGTAAGTCTCGCAAACACAGAAACCG